CCACAGAGGACAACCTCCCACCCCCCTACTACACGCGTGGACGTTTGTAGATGCAGAGGTAGAACATCCAGAGCGTGTCCAATGCGTGACACACACCAGGACTGGCTTCTTAATGCGCGGTACCTTCTTTCGCTTCGGAATAGCCGAAAAATCGCGCGCGGGATGACATCATTTGGGCCGCTGGTGGATTTTCATCCCCACAAAGCTGGCAAAATTTAACGGTCCCATTACTTCACCGTATACCATGTACACAACATTAACTACACGGTTTATAACCAAAGTTCCTGCCGTCGAGCAGATTCTGTATGACAGATTTGGTTCTCCGTGCGCAGTTAAATTAAGTGAAACAATGGTATTAGAAAACAGAAAGAATACTTATATGCCCCACAGAGAATGTATCAAGAACACTTACATTCTTGATCCTTTTTCTTAATAAGCTTCAGAACGGTATGGTCTGCTAACTATGATAACTATGATAATTGATTAGCATTAAAAACTATGTTTTGCTCATGAAACAGATTTAAATATTGGCACATAAAACAAAACTGCTACTATTCCCCCAGGTGTTTCACAGAGACTATAACAGCAGAATTCCTTAAAAAAAAAGAGAGAATACAGCCATTACTTTATAATGTTTATGCACATTCTTTTTCATTCCAAGCCCTGCTGCAGTCCTTCCATCCGCTTTCCTCAAGATTCCTTTTTTTAAAATATTTCTGCCAAGACCGTCTTAAAGAAAGTCTAAATTCACGTCTAAAAATGATGTGAAAAAAATGGTTGAACATTAGGCTTGAAATTTAAATGAAGACAATATTGCACCTATTTTTAGAAGGAGAGGGAAAGTAAAGTCAGTTCAAATGTTAGAGGTTTACAAAAGTTCAAAATTCAAGTGATTTTTAATATGCACCTTTTGGAAGTTTCAATGGATGACCAAAACGTGTCAATTCTATAAAGAGACATCCAACATTGGCAGTGATTGTGTTAAGATTTTAAGACAGCCAATCTAAAAATTCATTATGAATACCACTCATGACAATTCTAGCCCTTCTTTTTGACTGAACTGTTCACAAACGAACTATTAATCTCTCCAAACACCACGTAGGTGTATTACATCCCACTTTTGTGCCTGTTACCATCCTGTTGCACAGCTGTCGTTTAAGGTGGATCCTAGTCCTGTTAGACTGGACAACAAACATAGTATGTAGCATAACTGAAAACACTGAGGCTTTAAATTTCTCATAAAAATTCACAGAACCTTCACAAATCACCCCATGCTGTTATTTGTGCAGATACAGAGGGCTATAATAAATTACATAATTTTTCCAGATACAGCAAAGCTGAGCCCAGACTTTGGGAATTGTTGTCGTTTTACCAGTTAATAATCTGTAATCTGTAAAGATGCTTTCTTTGGTTAACTACGTCCATATATAAAGGGCCCACAACAAGCTATCGTACATCAACCTAGTAACCTATTAAATCAGTTCATATTCTTTACTACACATGTTAGTGGCAAATATCTGTATTTATGTATAAATATTTTAAAATATTTTCACATCTATTTCCATTATATCAGCAGACCAATTTCAGCTAATCATGAGTAAACAGAAGTAAATATAAAATTTATAACTTTATTGACAATATATTCTTCTTTATGGTACATTATGCTAACTAATTATATCTACTTTTTAAAAAAGTAACCACTCCAGTATTTGCACCATGAAACTCCTTTGTTGAATTATTGCAAAGAAATCCTTGGAATATAGGGAAAACATGCTTTCGATCTGCATATTTTACCCTGGAACATTTCATTTCTTTTGTTGACATAAAGACATGTATGATTTTCACTAAGATCATATCTATGCAGAAAGATGTAAGATATAAGATTTCTCAATATAAACATGTACATTAATGCGTACTTATAAAAACCTGTCTGAGGAAGGTTTAGGAAGAAGTCTGCCTCAGTGCTAAATGTTACATTTATATAGCATGGTGCCGCAGGATTACTATTGCATATCACAAATAAATGGAAGTATCAGGGAATTTTAAACACATGTAGCTGAAACAAAGACATTAATATTATCTAGACAGACCTACTGATAAAAACACATAAAAAAATTCAAGGCAGAATAAGACACTTAGTGGGAAAGCTAACGATCAATGTAAACTTCAGTGTTTCCTACCAAAAAAAATAATCAAAAGCGCAAGTATCACACAAATAGTGTAAGACTGTATTCCAGTCATTTGGTTTTGGTATTAACCTCAAAGACAGAAGAAATCCCCTTGGAAAGCTAATTTGAAAGTAAATATGCCCAAAGTTAAACATACAACTTGTATTAATCTCAGAACAGAATCAAGACCACTATTAAAACAAAGCCTGGGGCACATTGTGATACCTACAATTGGTGGGCGGATTTTAATTGACTTGAAGACTGTCACAGTCCCATTATCATAAAACCTGTAACGCACTTCCAGCATGGAGGACCCATCTGTGCCCACCATCCATCTGTTCAGACGTGATTGGCAAAGTGGTAGGGAACTCGTAGTGGTTGCCTCTGCCTGAAAGGAATAAACCACAGGATCTTCCAGTGAGTGCCAAAAACTTCTGAGAAGGTCTGCTGCCATGGCTTTCGGGGCCTTGATCTACAGAAGACAGCATTATTAGTGAAAGACAGCACGCCCACGGTGCACTTCAGTCAGCTAGAACAATGCAGGTTGGCTGGGGATCCATTACTGGACCCTGATGAATTGTGTCCCAGCATCACAAATACAGCTTTTCTCTCATTACGGCACGCAGCTGAGACTTAACGTTGGAGAACAGAAACTATCTGTGTCATCAATCAACCGAAGGCAACTTTTGAAGCAGAGGAGAACCTCAGAATCAATGAAATGTATGTCAAGACACAGCAGACAGTGTCTTTTGATCTGTACTTTTGAAAGAAAATACAGTTCCACTGGCTTTGGGTAGGGAAGGAATGGGAATAACATGAGGCTCCTTTATGCACAACCAATACTAAAAGATTAGTGAGCTGCTGCTAGAGATAAGAAATACAGGGCACAGCACCACGCAAAATAATCTTAACAAAGTGCCCTCAGTTCCTTTTCTCTCTCACACAGTTAAAAAAAACCCAGCTACTCCTTTAGCTTTTCAGCAAATAAACATAGAAATTTTACAGCACTTACATGTCTTCACAACAGTTTGACATTTTTTCTATGCTTGTAGTGTCCTGTTGAAGAAAAGAAAACACAATGAAAAAGTATTTACATTCCCAACTGTTAAAATGTCATTATGAAAGCAACTAAATGAAGCAGGGAATCAGTTCTTAGCGTACGCTGCTTTGGCATTAGTCCAGTAGGTTACATATTACTCATACACCATATTAGTTTTAAACAGCTGTGAGATTATATGCACAAATTTACTCAGTCTGTTAAATGATTTCTACAAACATGATGTGAAACTATAGTGTGTAGTTTTACTATGACAGCACATACCACAGAATGTCAACAAAAACTTACAGCATTACTACCGCTAAAATTAATTCCGCTATTACAATTAATTTGTGGGACATTTAGAAATAAGGTAAGGTACACTCTTGCCATACTTTTCACAGGCATCTGTTCCAGACTTGGAGAAGTCCACTGAGATAACCATAGGAAAACTTAGTAAAATGCAACTATTAATAGATGTAGGATTTGAAAAGCAGGAGACATTAAGAAGTTTTAAAATTGTTATCACGGTGACTATTATAATGCAAACACCACCACTAGGAATATACCATCAGTTTCCATAGCCTCTATTTGGTAAATACCAAATATAAAAGATATTCTCTTAAAATGTAAGAAAAACTAAATAACGTGCAGAGTGAAGGCCCCCCTGCAGCTAACAGTAAATTAAATTCATACTTCACTTTTCTGAACATGATTAATCTTATGAGTCACAAAGTTTTGTAATTAACAAATCAACTTAAGCTTAGATCGTCCCCAAATAAAACTTTCAAAACTACCAACAATAGTACTTTTTTCTCACTTTGGCACTATATGTTTAACAAAAAAGCTTGCTTTGCAAGTATCAGTTCAACTTTAACTCCAGCACTATTAGCATTTTCAATGCACATTCATAGTTCACTATGTCCCAAAACCACTCATAAGGTCCAAAATGCGGTAATTGAAATATTTCTCATGGTTCCACCCCCTTTTCATGGCAGCTTCATATCTCCCTTTGCTGTCCATTGATTTAGGCACGCACATAATGTACCTGTCAGATTACACTAGCGTTTGAATGAAACCGAGAGCCAGTCTCCATTGTCCCAGCCATGCAGAGGCACAAGGGCTGTGGTTTCATTAGCCTGTGACTTCATTGTCATCTGGAAATACTACCTAGCAATAAAACCATACTGTGCTCCTTGATTGTTCCTGCCGTCAGTGCATCCAATTCAGTGCAGGCACTGCTGGGATTCTGCCGCTATCCTTCATAAAGCTTTGAAGGGGAAGGGTGAAATATGAGCGGGAAATAACGTACAGGAAGCTGCTTCCCTGCTTCACCAGACACGGGTGGCCTCGACTCCCCTTGCCAAACTTTTTCCCTTCTAAATCTGCTTCCCAGCTCTGATGAGTTTTGGAACAGGATCCCTTACCACATGCTAAACAGCAAAAATCTTTAATGCTGCCCACAACCTACCCAGCTGAATTCCAGGAGCACTATGGCAAAGGAGAGAAGCCCCCTCTTCTCACAACAGTCTGCCAGGATGCACAGCTCTTCCCTGTTGGTGCAGAGAAGGCAGACTTCATAAACCATCCTGGCCCCAACACCAAGTGGATTTGAAAAACCACCCAGTAGTGAGAGAGGACAGGACTGCAGACAGCAGACTGTAAATACTGTCCGCTGTTCCGATTCCCATAGATAAGCTGCTTCTCCTCTCCACCTTATGGGCCTGTCTCGCCTATTCCCCCTCATCTGCCACAGGTGGCAGGGAAGTGTCACAAGACACCAGCCGTTCTTCTCGTTAGGGCAGGACCTGACTGCGCAGCCCAGGGACGCTCTGCTTCCTTGGGCTGACTTTTTGTCCAACTCTGGTCAGAACAAACACTGCCTTTTCTGACCACAGAAAATCATACACAGCTTTCTGAATGACAAGGGCTAAGTAAGTACAGATATTACTTCCAGGACGTTCCAGTGAGGCTGTAACAGCATTTTCACGAGACGCTATAGCTCCTTCCATAACTGCAAAAATATCTCAGCTCTAGGAATTACCCTCTGGTGAACTCAAAGCTGTCTACCTGATAGTACAAAATTATATTGCTATGTTTGAAAGCAATGATTGCTGACGATTTTCTGTACAACACACTAGTCTTAACTACAATTGATTTCTAGCTATCAAAGATTTATGCTATTGTTTCACAAAACCAGCCTTAAACCAGCTTTGGATGTGGAAGTAACAAAATACCTTAAATATGGCTTTTTGCTACATTTCTCCACATCGTTTATTTATTAATACATTTGTGCTGGCCCCTAAAATACGGTATTTGAGATTTTTGGAGGAATTCCCAGGTTGGTAACTGGGGGTTGTATTTCTTTTTAGTTATCACGGCATGTTACCAAGACCTGAAAGATGCTCATCAGGGTCTGTTGCCCTCAAAAATGTAACCCATTAAATTAATGAACTAACTGACGGCACCAAAACAGGAACTGTGGAAAATGACTGTAAGAAAAGATTGTTAAGCTTCCACACCTTTCAAACATACTAAGGATTTTAGTTGGATAGGAAGTCAAAGGAAATCCTTCCTTCCCTCCTTCCTTCCTTCCTTCCTTCCTTCCTTCCTTCCTTCCTTCCTTCCTTCTTCCATTAAAATGCCAACATCTACTTTAAAATACTTTTGCTTTACAGTAAAGGAACTGGGACTGAGCGGTGAATCCTTTGCTTCTGGGATACTTTTTCAGAATTAAAAAAAAAAAACAACTTTATAGACACATTTTAAAAGCTGTGAACTAGGGCTGGAGGGGATGGGAGGAAATATCTCTCTGAAGTTTATCTGCTTAACAAGTGCTGGTGACTGAACTTAAGAAACGCAATTCCCCTCACAGCTTCCCTCCCCCAACGCTGCTGCCAAACAGCTGGGCTCATTCCAAATGTACTTTCATTTGAGAGTGAAACAATTTACCTTTTTGCATGAAAGTGAAACTTCACAGCACCCCTGGAAACTCAGTAGCCCCTCTTGAGACAGGACAGGAAGGAAAGGGAAAGGGCCACAGTTGAGCTTTGGCCCATTATTTAAGGCTTTCTTCTCCAACAAATTAATTTTTCTTCTTTTGGAGACAGGAGGACCAGAATAATCACTACTCTTCCGAATGACAAGGTGTTCTGTTCATTAACACATCGCACAAATGGCTTTCAACCAGAGTATCATCTCTTTTAATTATGCATTTATGTATACGAAGGTTTTGCTACAACATCAGTATCACTGTGTTCAGCCTAAGAGGCTTTGGCTGTCTGCATCTACTATCAGCTTGGATTACTATTAATACAAATAGAACTCTGCTAAGATTTTTTTTTCCAGACTCACAGCTAATGCTGATGTTAAAATCTTTTGGAGAATTGGCACTCATCCAAAAGTTAAAAATAACTTGGTATGAGCAAACATGGCATTTGTACAGAGTCCTAGTAATCTCTATCTTCAAAAGTCCCACAAAATTTACAATTGCATACAAGATGAAATTGACTAACCCAAAATTGATTAATTTCATGTGATGGGTCATCTGGATGCCCAAAGTCATGACCCAGATGGGAAACAACTCTTGTTCCTGCACCTGGTTATTCAGAGATACGCACCCATTGATAAGCATCTTAAAGCATCTACAAAAGAAATAATCATACTTCAGTGAGAAAGGCAAAAGAAGTTAGAGGAAATAAACACAGAAATTATTAACAACATATCACTTTAAAAGAAGAGGAAAAGGGCAAAGGGTTCAGATTCTGCTGAGGGGCTGAGCAATGTTTTTTCGCTTTGAGCACTTACTACAAGTCTGTAAGAGCAGCTGGTCTACTCTAAGTGAAGTAAGCTACTGCCGCAGCTAAGACCGTTACAAGAGGAATGGAGAGACATACGTAAGAGCACCGACTGAATTCCACAGACTAACTTAAGTTTCATTTGCAAATGAATGCACCTGTGTTAGCTACTAATAGGAATATATCTTTCACATCTATATTTTTAACTAGAATAACCAACTGCCTGAAAAAAAAAGTTTTTTTTTTTAAAAAAGATCATATGCACTGTTTAACAAACTGTGCTATAGGATGTGATTCATCATGAACTACTTTATCATGGAAGAAGCACATGGAAAGAGTATTTTCCTCTTACTGACTCATGTTTTCCAAAGGAGATGCTGTAATTTGTAACTCACAGGACAAACTCCAAAGCATGCAGCCACAATCACTGGTTCAATTTTTCGTCTGTGTTTGCTTAAAGTGACATGTAATCAATACAGGTGAATTTAATACTTGCAATAGAAAAATGTAAGCATTTTGCCACACTTCCTTAATATAGTATCTTCAAACACTCAGTATATAAGAATCAGCAGGA